CTTGATTAAGGGGAGGCGTACTTTGTTCGAGGGGAGGTGTTGGATGAAAGTCCCACATCGGCTAATTTAGGGAATGATCATGGGCTTATAATCAAAGAATACTATCTCTATTGGTATGAGGCCTTTTGGAGAAGTCCAAAGCAAAGTCATGAGAGCTTATGCTCAAAGTGGACAAATATCATACCATTGTGGAGAGTTGTGTTCAATTAACCGCGCCAATCCTCCTTCAATAGGGATTTGTATAATAGACCATCTAAGGAGGTGGCTACCCTTTTTGTCAATGCCTCCCTTCCAAAGGAAAGTCTTACACAACTTCTCTATAGCTTTTGTGATTTTGGATAAGGGCGTGCCTTCCTCCTCCTGATATATAAGATGCCCTCCAATAGTGCCACCGTTTCTCCATTTTTTCATTAATTGGCGCCCAAAAATTCAGTGTGCCAAATAGGTAGAAGGTCAGTAACCAACCTGGCAGCCAAAAGAAGATGTGAGGAACTCAGCTTGCTGTGAATCTAACCCAACACCCAAAAGTTCCAATTTCTGACAACTAATATTTAGACCCGAAAATACCTCAAACTCATGGATGATATGGAAGAAAAATCGGAAATGAGGAGGTTGAAAAGAAGACCGGTGAGATTGTTGGGAAGACATGGCTGGTGGTGTAGGGGAGGAGAGAGGAAGCCGTGAGGAAACTTAAGCACAAGCATTAAACTCACCACATATCCACAAGTCCTCCAAGTTTGAGTAGCATAAGTAATCATAATGCTTCCATTTGGATCAAAGCGATCATAACAATCTTTAAAGAGACCAAGTGTGGTGATCTGAACTCCATTGCAGCAGGCAAAAGAAGATTTTTGAAAGGTAATGCTTATCCTGTTTCAGCTACAGATGCTGGTTGGGAGTGGGTGTTTTAAGTAAACAAAGTTACAAAGGAATATTTGAAATTGGAAGTTCTTAAAAACCTTGATTTTGGAAGAAATGGCTTATGTGGATTTGAGTGAAGTTGAGTAAATGGGGGAAGTAAAAATGGTGGGTTTTGTCGATAATTGCTACGTGTTTCGACTTTACTTTGTCCAATTATCTACCTTCTTCTATCTCTAGCTCCCACGTAGTGTTGAATCAGCTAGTTCACCCAATAATCATACTGCTCATTATAAAGAAACAGGCACGGCCATTGCAGGCCAGTAATATCTGCTAGTAGAGAGCATTAATTCTGTTAGCTTATTGATTTTGTTGGTTGATGTTAGATCAAGGGCAGTTGGATAAAACCAGGTGCTGCAGTGATTGATGTTGGTACAAACGCAGTTGATGATCCAACCAGAAAGTCGGGCTACCGGTTGGTTGGGGATGTAGATTTCCAGGAAGCTAGTAAAGTGGCTGGTTGGATAACTCCTGTTCCCGGTGGTGTGGGTCCTATGACTGTTGCCATGCTGCTTAGGAACACTTTAGATGGGGCTAAGCGTGTGATCGAACAGTGATATCATTTTTGTGTTTCTAAGGTCTTGCATATTTGAGGAGTAGGGAAAATAAAAACCTTAATAATCGAGTGGATATCTATCAGAATGAATAATGTTAATATGGATCCTTGTGGGAATTTCTTAGTAATTTATAAATAAATGTTCAACCTATTTTGTGCCACGTACCATTAGTTGATTTTGATGGCATGGGTTGGGTTGGGACATTTAGATTAGGTTAGATTAGATTCGGTCGGGTTGCGACTTACTTTGGATCTAACCCAATTGATTTTTGCAACTCAACCAACCAACCCAACCCAATTATAACTTTTTTTAGGTTGGTTGATTCAATTTAAGTTATTTATTCACATTTTTTTTTAGTTATTTATTCATATTTTTTTTTAGTATTAGTTCATAAAATGTTTATTTATTTATTTTTAAATATTTAATTTAATTTATGTTTGTTGATATATATTTTGAAAATTAACCTCCAAATATTTAAAATAATTTTTTTTTTCACAAAGTTGTTGGATGATAAATAATTAAAAAATAATTATGAAATATATATATATATATATATATATATATATATATATATATATATATATATATAAATTTGAGTTGATTTGATTAATTCAATCTAGGTTGATAAGAGTTCATGAACTAGTTCAATTTATAAATTTTTCTCAACCCAAACTTGAATTGTATTGATTGAATTTTTGGAGTGATCGAGTTTTTTAAATACCACCAACAATTATGGATGGTATGAGGGTGGGATGACATTTGACTTTATTTCCAAGAGTAATATGAAGTCCGCCTCAATGATTTCTAGGGTTGGACTTATAACCCAAATATTGAAACGGATATTAATACTTCTTAACAATCGTTCGTTCAAAGTAGAAATTCCATTTGGAATGAGAAATTGGTATGAGAGCTAAGTTATTAGGTCACAAAAGGAGAGAAGCTCTTGATTTTGCTGAAACACAGCCATTTCCTCCTCCTCCAATCTCACAATGGCTTCAACTCCCTCCCCATCTCTTGCATCCATCAACAAAATCAGATTTTTGGAGTCAAAATCTGGAACAGTAATCCACATAGGTTTCCCCCATCCAAAATCTGCATCATACAGTGGAAATCTGCACCAGCTACTGCAACAGTACACGGCATGATTCCATCCTCCACTTATCAGCCTATCCATCTTCTGTTTGGCATGCAATTTGTAAAGCCCATTCCATTCTTCCGCCCTGCACTTCTTTGGGAGCTCCCTGCAGAACTCTTCAAGGCTTCTCTTCATGTCTCCCACTATCTTCCATACCTCCATTTCCCTCCCCTCCTCCTCCTTGGCTGATGATGCAATGAAGAATGTGACTATGTTCCCTATTAATTTCTCTTCCAATGGTGGCTCCATTCGCCCCCGGATGTTCACCACCTGTAGTAGACTCGACATCGTCGGCCAATGGCCTTTTTTGTCCAAGAAATTAGCACAAAAGTTATCGAATGTGTATCGAGAGATAATAATGATCTATTTAGTGTTGAAGATTGTTGGGAGGAACTTCCACATTGGCTATAATTTAGGGAATGATCAAAATACTGTCTTTTAGTACTAAGACATTTTGAAATTAGAGTCATGCCCTTAACTTAGCTATGTTGATAAAATCTTCCTCAAGTGTTGAACAAAGAAGTTGTGAACCTCGAATGTGTAGTCAAAAGTGACTCTAAGTGTCGAGCCTCAATTAAGGGGAGGCTGTTTGAGGGCTCTATAGGCCTAAGAGGAAGAGACTCTATAGTGTACTTTGTTCAATGAAAAGATGGTTGGATTGAAGTCCGATCATAGGTTTATAAGTAAGGAATACATCTCCGTTAGTATAAGGCATTTTGGAGAAACCAAAAGCAAAGCTATCGTAGTTTATGCTCAAAGTAGACAAGATCAACCTTTAGGACAGTCCAACATGCTTGACTTTAAAATTTTTATGATTGAGTCATCGAAAAAGATGCATTGTATTGGTACATGATATTACGGTTTGAGTTTTAACGCACCTTTGACTGAAATTTTAGCAGAAAGAGCAGCTTTGTAGACGAAGGCAGTGAGCACCTGAACACGACTTGGATTTTCCACTTTCTCAGAAACCATAGCTTTAAGAGCTTCAATCTTCGAGCCCTCAAACACCAATCTCTTCAAACAAACCTTTTTACCTTCCTCCACAGATGGGTAACCGCCGGCGTCCAATTCCGGCCGGAAAAAACTAGCCGCATTGAACAGAGGATTGACTTCCAGCAGCATACCACCGCCGGAGCTACGGGCAATAGAAGCCCAATCATTCACAAACTGAGCCAATGACGCCAAATCCGCCACTTTATGAGAGAAAACCACAGACATCATTGTTCCTCCACATTCAAAATGGAACAACTGAACAGACAACAAAGGATTCAATGTTGGGTCTGTGTCCTTTCCATTCGTGTCATGTTCTAAACGAACCAATTTCAAAACCTCGTCGCGTTGCAGCTTGTTCATAAATTCCGACATGGGGCACCGGAGCTTTCCTTCTAAATACATGGCGCCCATGTCGTTGCAGTCGATGAAGTTGCCACCCTTTTGGAGGCGGCCGGCAAAAGGGTAGTAGACCGTCAAGGCCTTTGAGAGGCCGTCCTTCAGGCCGCCGGAGTGGACGGTGTTGCCGCCGTCGTAGAAATAGAGAAGCATTATAGACATGTAAGGGGCATGTTGATCAAGCAAGCAGAGGGGGTAATTTCTAAGCTCCGATGGGGTTGAAGACGAGGGCTTGATGGTTTCTTTACACACAATTTCAAGCTCAACCATTTTTGTGAGTACGTTTGAAGCTCTGTTTCTGAGTTATGGTGCATTATTTAAAGTCGAGCAATTTTGATTATTTTTAAATTTTTTAATTATATATAATATTAGATAATATATTATTTAAATTAAGAAAAAAATTCACGTGATTTATTTTTGCATTCTATTATATATTTCAAAATAATAATAAATTAAAAAAATATACCTGGCTCACGTTATTATTTTTATATTATTTTTATTATTTTATTATTTTATTATGCTTAAAAAAATAAATAATAATAATAAATGTAGCAAGTAATCCTTTGTTGGAGTTGTTGGGGTTAGATATAAATTAAGGGATGTAAACTTTTCAAAACTGTGTTAATCAATTGGGTATCATAAGCAAAAATCACAATACAATCCTCATGAGAGTTAATTTTTTATTTTTTATTTTTATCACAAACAGTACCACATTGGTGTGTGGACGTTAATTGGTAGCATCGACCCATCCCCTTACGTGGATGCGTATTGCTTTGAATATGCTTAATTATATGACAAGGAAAACAAGGAGTCACTTTCGAGCAGTGTTGTTTTGCAATGATTAGAAAAATAATATCTCACATCTAATAAATTTTATGTTGGATCATAAACAAATACTCTATTAGAGAATCTGTGTAAATTAAGGTTGAAGAGATCTCACCTCGGTTAGAGAGGGAAACAAAACACGCATTTTAAAACTCTCTAAGAAAACCCTCAGACCGTGAGATCTAAAACACGCATTTTAAAATAGTATTTTTCTTGTTCATTATGGTGTTGGATTGGTTAAGGGCACAACAACCCATACTCGATACACTTAACAATTATGGTTGCTATGAGGTTGGGATGGGTAGCAGCTAGCAGCTAGGTTCTTAGGTCACAAAAGGAGAGAAGCTGTTGATTTTGCTGAAACACAGCCATTTCCTCCTCCTCCAAGCTCACCATCGCTTCAACTCCCTCGCCATCTCTTGCATCCATCAATATAATCAGATTTTTGGTGTCAAAATCTGGAACAGTAATCCATATAGGTTTCCCCCATCCAAAATCTCCCTCGTACAGTGGAAAGTTGCACCAGCTACTACAATGATACACAACATGATCCCCTCCTGCACTCCCCAACCTCTCCATTTTCTCTTTGGCATGTAATTTGTAAAGCCAACTCCATTCTTCCGCTCTGCAGTTCTTTGGGAACTCCCTGCAGAACTCTTCAAAGCTTCTCTTCATGTCTACCACTAAATTCCATAGCTCCATTTCCCTCCCTTCCTCCGAGGTTGATGATGCAATGAAGAATGAGAGTATGTTCCCTATTAATTTCTCTCCCAATGCTGGCTCCATTCGGCCTCGGATGTTGACCGCTTGCAGTAGACTCGTCGTCGGCCAATTGCCTTTTTTGTCGAAGAAATTAGCACAAAAAATTAGCACAAAAGTGATCGAATGTATAGAGAGATAAATATTCCAAGTGTTTTCCTATATCTATTTATTGTTGAGGATTGTTGGGAGAGAGTCTCACGCCAGCTAATTGAGGGAATATGAGGCTTTTGGGGAAACCAAAAGCAAAGTCATTAGAGCGCTCAAAGTTGTTGGAAAAAAGGGATAGTGAAAGAGATAAGAATAGATAGAATAGATGTAGTGCTTTATTATTTGTCTACTGACTCAATGCTTAGAGGGTTACACCATTCTCGTATTTATAGCTTATACACTATACTAGAAATAGTAAATCTCGAAATCTAGAAAAATTCAAATCTACTGACAATCTCCTAAAATCTCCTAAAATCTTGGTAGTTTGAATATTTGAATCATATCTCAAGTACTCTTCATCATATCTTTTTGAATACTTTGAATCATATCTCAACAAGAGTGGACAATATTATGCTATTGTTGAGAGTTGTGATTTCTAACATAGTATCATAGTCATACCCTTAACTGAGTCGTGTCAATAAAATCGTCAAGTGTCGAACAAAGAAGTTGTGAACCTCAAATGTGTAGTCAAAAGTGACTAAGCGTCGAACATCAATTAAGGAGAGACTATTTGAGGGTTCCATAGGCCTTAGAAGAGGTTGTATAGTGTACTTTGTTTGAGAGGAGGATTGTTGGGATGGAGTCGCACATTGGCTAATTTAGAGAATGATCCTGAGTTTATAAGTAAAGAATAATCTCTATGGGTACGAGGTCTTTTGAAAAACCTAAAAACAAAACATGAGAGCTTATGCTCAAAGTGGACAATATCAACATTTAGTACCGTCAACTACCCCTTTTGGGGAAGTAAAAAATGAGAGAGCTTTTATTGCTTAAAGTGGACAATATCAACCTTTAGTAGATTCTTAATGATTGAAAGATGATCCATAACGCACCTGTGACTGAAATTTTAGCAGAAAGAGCAGCTTTGTAGATGAAGGCAGTGACAATCTGAACACGAGTTGGATTTTCCACTTTCTCAGAAACCATAGCTTTAAGAGCCTCAATCTTCGAGCCCTCAAACACCAATCTCTTCATACAAACCTTTTTACCTCCTCCCTTTGCTTCAGAACCTTCATCCCCAGATGGATTACCGCCGGCGTCCAATTCCGGCCGGAAAAAACTGGCCGCGTTGAACAGAGGAGTGACTGCAGGCAGCATGCCGCCGCCGGAGCTACGAGCAATGGAAGCCCAATCATTCACGAAGTTAGTCAAGGAGGCCAAATCCGCCACTTTGTGATAGCAAGACACAGACATCATTGCTCCTCCACATTCAAAATGGAACAACTGAACGGACAACAAAGGATTGAATCTTGGGTCTGTGTCATTTCCATTTGTGTCATGATCTAAACAAACCAGCTTCAAAATCTGGTCGTGTTGCAGCTTGTTGTTCATAACTTCCGACATGGGACACCGGAGCTTTCCCTCTGAATACATGGCGCCCATGTCGTTGCAGTCAATGGAGTTGCCACCCTTTTGGAGGCGGCCGGCGAAAGGATAGTAGACAGTCAAGGCCTTTGAGAGGCTGTCCTTCAGGCCGCCGGAGTCGACGGTGTTGCCGTTGTCATAGAAATAGAGAAGCATTATATAAAGGTCAGGGGCTTGTTGATCAAACAAGCAGAGGGGGTGATTTCTAAGCTCTGATGGGGTTGAAGACGGGGGCTTGATGGTTTCTTTGCACACCATTTCAAGCTCAACCATTTTTGTGAATGTGTTTGTAGCTCTGTTACTGAGTAAAAGCATATTTAAAGTCGAGATAAGGCTCCTTGTCACATTTCATTTCATTGCAAATTTATTCCATTCAAGAAAATAATTAATCGTCTTACTCCTACCACCTCTACCGATAAATTGAGGAACAAATTATCAAATCTAAGAAATTACCAACCTATTCGTTGTCAGCTTTGTTGGATGATGAAAGTACCACATCAGTTAATTTAGGGAATGGTCATGGGTTTATAATCTAAGAATACACTCTCCATTGGGATGAGGCCTTTTGGGAAGCCCAAAGCAAAGCCATGAGAGCTTATGCTCAAAGTGGACAATATCATACCATTGTGGAGAGTCGTGTTCGTCTAACATGGTATCAGAGTCATGCCCTAAACTTAGCCGTGCCAATAGATTGGAAAATCCTTAAATTGGAGTCAAGCCTCCTCGAAGGTACGAAGGCAGTCAAAAATGACTAAGACTCCAAAGGAGTCGAGCCTCGATTAAGGGGAGGCGTGCTTTGTTCGAGGGGAGGTGTTGGATGATGAAAGTCCCACATCGGTTAATTTAGGGAATGGTCATGGGTTTATAATCTAAGAATACACTCTCCATTGGGATGAGGCCTTTTGGGAAGCCCAAAGCAAAGCCATGAGAGCTTATGCTCAAAGTGGACAATATCATACCATTGTGGAGAGTCGTGTTCGTCTAACATGGTATCAGAGTCATGCCCTAAACTTAGCCGTGCCAATAGATTGGAAAATCCTTAAATTGGAGTCAAGCCTCCTCGAAGGTACGAAGGCAGTCAAAAATGACTAAGACTCAGCCTCGATTAAGGGGAGGCGTGCTTTGTTCGAGGGGAGGTGTTGGATGATGAAAGTCCCATATCGGCTAATTTAGGGAATGATCGAGAATGATCATGGGTTTATAAGTGAGGAATACTAACTTCATTGGTATGAGGCCTTTTGGGAAGCCCAAAGGAAAGCCATGAGAGCTTATGCTCAAAGTGGACAATATCATACCATTGTGGAGAGTCGTGTTCGTCTAACAAGCTTCACACGGAATTTGATTGAAATTTCACCACCTCTACCGACAAGTTGAAAATGGGGTCAAACCAACCCCATATATCCCTAATTATTTCTTTTTATCGACGTTGTGATATTGACGTTGACTGAGCTTACACCAATAATTTATATGTGGTATTGTGGATGATAATTGGTAGCAGCATTGTGACCAATCCCTTTCTGTGGATACCTATGGCTTTGAGTACCTTTAGTTGTGTGGCAAAGAAAAAAAGTGTCACTTTCAATAGGAAATGATAACTCAAATCTTCTAATAATGAAATCATATGCTTCTTATTATCATTATGGTAAGGTGGCCATTCAATTTCAGTTGGATATTGTCTAATAACATTATAAAATTTAACATTATTACGAGTAAAAATGACTTTTATAGCATAGTCAAGTTAATATGTCTATCATTTTAGGGACTTTAGTTAGATCGTAAACAAATCATTTATTAAAGAATCTGTGGTACTAAAAATCCCACATTGGTTGGAGAGGGAACGAAGTATTACTTATAAGAGTGTAGAAATCTCTCCCTAGTAAACGCATTATTAAAATAGTGAGACTGACGACAATACGTAATGGCCGAAACGGTCAATATCTACTAACGGTGAGCTTGGGCTGTTACAAATATTCCTTAGCGTTCATTTACGGTGGAAAAACTCAGAAAAAAGTATGAATTATTTTAGTCCTCTATGTGGCTATGATTTGAATTGGTATATCCTTCAATGCCATACTTTTGGTATACTATAACTTGATTCTCTTCCCACCACTTCTCCGCTTCCCTCTCCGAAAATCTTCTTCGACTGCAAACACAATATCAAATAACTACGTTAAGTTACTTCAATAACGCGAAAAAATTTCCAATGCAATAAAACGAACACCCATCAAAATATTAGATAACAAAACATACAAAGAACATCCAACCATGCTAATAATAAGAAGACATGTGTAACAACTCAAGCCCACTGCTAGCCGAAATTGTTCGCTTTGGCCCGTTATATATTGTCTTCAGCCTCTCGATTTTAAAACACGACCGTTAGGGAGAGGTTTCTACACTCTAATAAGGAGTGTTTCGTTTCCCTCTCCAACCAATGTGGGATCTCACAATCTACCCCTCTTGAGAGCTCAGTATCCTCGCTGGCACACCACCTGTTGTCTGGCTCTAATACCATTTGTAACAACCTAAGCCCACCGCTAGCAGATATTGTCCGCTTTGGCCCGATACATATTGCCGTCAGCCTCATAGTTTTAAAACGCGTCTGGTAAGGAAAAGTTTCCACACTCTTATAAAAAGTGTTTCATTACCCTCTCCAACTGATGTAGGATCTCACAATCCACTCCCCTTGAGGGTCCAACGTCCTCACTGACATACCACCCTAACTCTGATACCATTTGTAACAACAAAATCCCACCACTAACAGATATTATCTTATTTGGGCTTTCCCTTTCAGGTTTCCCCTCAAAATTTCAAAAACGCGTTTAGAGAAAAGTTTTCAAACCCTTATAAAAAATGTTTCGTTCTCCTCTCCATCTGACGTGGAATCTCACAATATGAACTAATCATTTTAGGCATTGAAGTGCATACACTTGCAAGTGAAGCATAAATTTGAAGGTGAAATGGATAAGTGAAGAATACCTGAATCTCACTCTCTTGAGTCCCTTGTGTCCACCTGGTAGACTTGTAAATGTAATATATACACCAGGTTCATACTGTTTTATCCATTCATCTTTCAAACAATTTGCAGTTTCATTTTTCGAAGATGTTCGGTCAGTGTTTGAACCTGGATCCGTCGACTTAGTAACGTATCGGAATGCTTGTCTCCCATACAACGATTTGAATGTATTGGAGAAGACAATGGGAGAGTTGTATAAACTATCACCTATTAGTCTGTCTTTGGGCAGTTGAACCTCAGGGGGTAAACAAATTGCAGCAGAGGGGGAGTGAACTGGTGTAACATGTGGTTTATTTGCATCAACTTCATCTTTTGCATCTCGTCGACCGACAACGTTCTCCGACATTGTCTGAAGCTGTAACAACAGTAGCAGTTCTACTTCGATCAGATCATCATCTCGAAAACGAGTGGTTATAGCATGAACCGTGTTTGAAAGTTGATAAAGAAAGAAATGTAAGAGATTACCCTTAGTGCCAAAGCTTTTATGACCTCCTTTGCTGCCTTGCATTTGGCTGCTTCCTCCCTTGCAACAGACCAAGCTTCTTCTATCTTTTGTCCACATTTCTGCATCTTCTCGTCTCTATCGTGACATTGTAGTTCGAGGCTCTTCACCTTAAAGGATGTAACAATTTGGTTATAAACTCGTTCATACATTGACAGAATTGAAACACAATCCAACAGAAACAAGTTGAATAATTGAAAATAAGTTTTAACTCCAACAGAAAGTTGGAAGAGATCTTTTAAGTTATAACGCCCCAAGCCCACAGCTAGCAAATATTGTTCTCTTTGAACTTTACCTTTCGGGCTTTCCCTCAAGGTTTTTAAAACACATTTGCTAGGGAGAGATTTCCACACCCTGTCACTCGTTCCCTTCTCCAATCGATGTGGGACCCGCAATCCACCCTCCCTACCCAGCATCCTTGCTGGCACACCGCTTCATGTCCACCCCCTTCGAGGCTCAGTCTCCTCGCTAGCACATCGCCCGGTGTTCGGCTCTGATACCATTTATAACGGTTCAAGCCCACCACTAGCAGATATTAATCCTCTTTGAACTTTTCCTTTCGAGCTTTCTATCAAGGTTTTTTAAAATGCGTCTGCTAGAGAGAGGTTCCACACCCTATAAGAATGCTTCGTTCTCCTCCCCAACCGATGTGAGATCTTACATAAGTACTCTCAAATCAAAATATTGAGTAAAAGTTTTGAATCACAAGATAATGAATGAAGACTAATGGCAGTCAGCTCAAGGAAGAAACTTGGTCAGCTTAATGTTTTATAAATCAGTATGTGTAAGAAGAACAAACATGCATTGTCAAGGTATGAATTGAATCTGAAATAATAGAAATGGAATGAGCAGATTACAAGCCGGATACATCATGTAACAGTCCAATCCCATCACTAGCAGATATTGTCCTCCTTGGGCTTTCCTTTCAGGCTTCCCCTTAAGGTTATTAAACGCGTCTGCTAGGAAGAGGATTCCATACCTTTATAAAGAATGTTTTGTTCTCCTCCCCAATCTATGTGAGATCTCACAATCTGTGTGGAGACCTCCCCCTAGCAGATGCGTTTTAAAAACCTTGAGGGAAAGCCCAAAAAGAACAATATCTGCTAGCGGTGAGCTTGGGACGTTACACATAATATCTGCAATACACACATACAGGCCAAGGACATAATTACAGCAACGTTGTAAGATGGGAAGTGTACGAATACCTCAGCTCTTAGCCTCTGAACTTCTTCACTTAGTTTCTCACTGGATCCATACACAAATCTCTCAATACCGATGGCACCCGAATTAGGCAACTTCAGATGAACTAAAGCATTAACAGATGTTTGAGTTTGAGATGGAGGAGGAATAAGAGTTTTCATGTTCTCTCTACTGCATGTTTTAAATGAAGCTGGACAAGAAACTTGCCCCCAGCTCGGTATTCCACTGGTCGAAAAAGAAAGTTGTTCAAAATACTCTCGGTTTTCGCCATGGTTTATGAATTTCCAATGAGACTGCATTTCATCAATGTTTTGTTTTGTAGGTGACAGCAGCTGACCATGCTTAGAACTCATACTTTTCTTGTCTACTCTTTCAAAAGCAGATGCTTTCTGTTGCACCAATGAATTCTTCGTCCTATGTCGTTGTAAATTGTTGAAGCACGGATCACAAACTCGAAAAGCTTTGGTTCGACTGGGAGCCAAAGCAGCGTTCATAGTCTTCTTACTGCTACACATTCTGCAGAAAGAGAGACCACAGTGATAGCAATTATGCTTCTTTCTTGTAAACCCAAAAGGCAATTTACATCCATAACAAGCAGA